TATAAAGCTGATGTTTAAGTTAAGGAATGAGGCACGAGGTAAGTATTATAATTTAAAAAATAAGTCTAGTAACATAGATCAGGTGGAATCTGCCAAGAGATATTACACAGACCTCAAAAAACAGGCAATATTTGCTTTGGCCCGGGAGAAGGATGTTTATTTCTCCAGAGATATTAATAGACAGATAAAAAATCCAAAAGTACTATGGAGGAATTTAAAAGCCCACATCTTACCCGACCACAAGGATAGCTCACTCCCGGACCACTTCAATGACCCAAACAACATAAACAGGGCTTTTCTTGATGTTCCGGGGACATGTTGTGTATCGATATCTCAGCTGACATTCTTCGAGTTTAACAGTCACATGCCTCGTGGGACTCAGTTTGTGCTCAGGAGTGTTAGCGAAGCAGATGTTTTTAGGATATTGCAGGACCTTGGAACTAATGCAGCTGGCACTGATGGACTAAGTCTGGATATGCTGAAACTCACATTGCCATGCACGCTTCAGACTATCACTTCCATAGTAAACACATCTATTGAGACCAATACATTCCCTGATGCATGGAAGTGTGCTGTGGTGCGGCCTCTACCAAAAGTCAGCAGTCCAAACTCCTGCAAGGATCTTCGCCCCATCAGTATCCTGCCCTGCTTGTCAAAGGTCCTGGAGAGGGTAGTGTATACTCAAACCATCGAATACCTGGAAAATAACAATGTACTGCCAGATTTGCAATCTGGTTTCAGAAAGGGGCGTGGGACAGCAACTGCACTCGCTGATGTTATAGGAAACATTCTTGAGGCTCGTGATAGGGGGGAGGGGACGATTCTGGCTTTGCTTGATTTTTCTCGGGCTTTTGATGCTATAAACACCACATTACTGCTTTCCAAAATGGCATATTATGGATTTGCAGCGGAAACAGTGAAGTGGTTTGCTAGCTACTTGGAAAATAGGTCGCAATACGTTGAAATCCATAACCAGGATGGATCCGTCTTGTCCTCCTCCCCACTTCCTGTCTCGCGCGGAGTACCTCAGGGATCAATTTTGGGACCACTTCTTTATATTCTCTACAGTGCAGACATCGTAAAGTCATTTAAACACTGCAAGTATCACATGTATGCAGATGACATACAAATTTACATTTCTTGTAGGCCTGCGGACGTGCTACAGGCTGCACAAAACATGAATCACGATCTGCAGAGGGTTGCCACTTGGGCAGAGCATAACTCCCTGGTACTAAACCCAGCTAAGTCTAAGTACATGGTTCTGGGTAGTAAGAGGGCGGTTGGTGCCATGTTGTCAGTTGGGCCAGTTATAACAATTAAGGGAGATAACATTGAAAGGGTGAACACAGCTACCAACTTGGGTCTCACTATGGATCCAGAGCTACACTTTGAGAAGCACATTGTAAATTGCATGAGGAACTGTTTTTACAGACTTAAAATGCTCTACACATTTAGAAAACACTTGAGTGTAGCTCTGCGCAAACAGCTTGTGGATAGCCTGGTACTGTCGAAGTTAAATTACTGCGACACAGTCTATGGCCCGTGCTTGCTGGCAAGAACAAATACATTAATCCAGCGTATACAAAATGCTTGCATAAGGTACTGTGTTGACATACCAAGGAGAAGCCATGTCACCCCTTTTGCAAATCAACACAATATACTAAAAATGGAGGCTAGAAGACGACTACACATGGCAGGTCTGTTGTTTGGAGTCATAACTACTCAAAAACCACGGTACCTGTATGAGAAGTTAAATTGGAGGCAACATTCATATAAAAACCACATACGCTCTGCAACAAATCCACTATCTATCCCTCAACACAGAACTGCGGCCTTCAGGGGGAGTTTCAGGTATGCCGCGACTCACTGTTGGAATAACCTGCCACCACCGATGCGAGGCCTGAAAACAAAAAGCACTTTTTTACTGCATATGAAAAAATATTTACAAATCCTTCAGAACTCAACCTAACCTAACTCTCTTCAATATTTATTATTCTATTTATCTACATAAATTACAAAAATTAGTATATATTTCTAACCTTCACGGTCGCGGCCTTCCTGCAAGGGATACAGGTGTCCAACAGATATTGTCCGCGATTGCATCCTTCCCCCTGTTAGTACAGAACACGTGTTTCTGCAAATGACCTTTGGCTGCATGCTGGAAACAAGTTACAAGACACACATTTACAAATACACCTACACAGTACAATCAAACACGATATACGCTTTTGTTTCACGATCACATATTAATTTAAATAGCCTGTACTCACGCTGCTTTTCGCTTCAAAGTGTTCTGAATTATGGTGGAACGCCATCACGTCACCCAAGGATATGCTGAAAATCAGCGCTGTGGCACCAATCCCTTGTGGGTGGGGTCTCAGCAAATGCTGAGCATGTCCTTTTTTTGCGCTCGTACCACATTATACTGTTATGTTAGTAAGGAGGAAATTAGCAAATTATATTAATATATGTTTCTTGTTGTTAGTGAGATTGTTACAAACACAAAATGCTAATTGCTACTTTCTTGTCCATGTGGTCCACAGATTATAAAAAATACACGCGACATCACGCATAATGTTATACTCTGTGGACCATAGATGAAAGGTTTTGTTTTCTTTTTTTTTTGTTTGTTATTTTGTTATTAATTTTTTAAGTCTTTTAATTTTTATTTGTATCATTTAGTTTGAATTTTTAGTAATATTTTATTTTCTTCTTTTTTTTTGTATTTTTGTTTTGTTTTGTGTGTGTGCGCTTGCGCGAAAATAAATGTTTTTTCTTTCTTTCTTTCTTTCTTTCTTATATTCTGACAGTTTTAAATCCATGGAAACGCACACAGATTATTTAACTCAAAGAGTTCGTAACACTCTTGGCAAGAGGCACAGGAGGTCTAAAGTCCTCTAACTAAATCACTGCTTATACACTACTTATAGTATTCATCATCATCATCATCATCAGCCCTTAAGTGCCCACTGCTGAGCAAAGGCTTCTTCTCACACGGAGAAGGTTTGAGCATTAATCACCACGCTTGCTCAATGCGGGCTGGCTTTCACTGCCAGCTTATAATTAGAAATTATAAGTCCAGGTTTCCTCATAGTACTTATAGTATTCGTACGCTATATGTTAACACTTCGGTTGCATAACATAAACCTAAACACCTTACAAACAAAACAACAAACACAATTAAGGATAAAGCAGTATTACATTATTTAAATTGTACAGTCAGGCAAGTCAAATCGCAATCGCACTCAGTAACCATGACACTAGTTTTCTTACCTCGCTCTAACTGTACTTCTGAACGTATGAACGGATCCTTTATTTTATAACAATTTAGAGTTGGAAACACAAAAAAATCAATCCAGTAAAAATGGCAACCACTTCTGCTGAAACCTGTCTGAAGTGAAAGATGGACGATATATTAGTAGATCCCGATACCCTAAAGCAAATTGAAGATGCGAAATTACCAAAAATTTATTTTGAGTCCTGACAAGAAATTTTGCTGCATCAACTCTATTGTTCAGATGCATGTATATCCATTGTTTCATTGTTTTATGAACAATTGGTGAAAGTGGATTTTTCTAAGAAACCGGTTCAAGATGCTACAAGGATGGATGCGGATGATCTCCCACAAATAAAGTTGACTGACCCTCTAAACAACATTACTGTGGGAAACCACATTATTAGTATCATATTTACGATGCACAACGTATGTAGACAGGCTACCAAAAGATCTGATACAAATATGATTAAAAAGACGGAGAAGACTTCCTTCAAAATACATTATAGAGGAAACGATTACCCTATCTGTAATGATGTAGTAAAAGGAATTTGGTTAGATGTTTTAAAGAAGAACGGATTTACATATAAATATTTTGATGCTGGACATGAGGAAAACTGGTATGGGACCATGGGACCTATCTAGATATGTTTTTTGCATTCGCACTACGGGTGAATGAGTTACGATTGGGACACAACAACATGCCTTTAACTAAACAGGATGGCGTTCATAAGAGTTTTCCTGATGCAAAATATGGGCTATCTGATGCTCATCATGTTTTGTTGGAAGATGTTTCGTTCCCACCAGAGAGGCGTTATACATTATCGTTATGTAACGTATAGTTCAAAGTTTGGGACCAATTATTTTGAATGACACTGACCTGGTTGTGTATGCTCCGAAGTGAAGGAATTTATCGGAAAAAGTATGCAACTGCAGTAAAGCGAGCAATGTCTCATATACCTTGTATTGACGATATTATTGAATTGACTAAGAACCCTAAGCAGGCATCTGAGATCTCTAATCTTAAAACACTTGTGGCAATGTGAAACTACCCTAGTAACTACAGCTCGACAGGCCACTCGGATGTTTTTCCCTGTCACAATTTTCTCTGCTGTTTGGCGTTCACCTGAAGATAAAAAGAAGCTCTGTCCTTTCTTTGGCACAACTGGCGCTGAAGGCTGGTATATCTACAAATGTGCTTCTACAAAAAGAATGAAATACACGATTTGCGGTTCAATGCAAGAAGAGATGGCAGCACAGATTGTGTTTCATGGTATTTTTGGAACATACAAAGAGGACTTGTCTATTCTATCACAGATCACCAATGTAGCTGGTTCACTAGAGAGGAAATGGGTGGGTGCTTCAGGCAAGCAGGCAAAGGAAAATGTGACGCAAAAGTAGAACTTCCTATGGTGGAACATTATGCAAAGATGTCATGTGCGAACCAAACAGGACTTCTCTCAGGCGTCTACAATCAGGTGGTAACAGTACCCTGCTCTAGTGGGCAGCGCACACATCTTTTTGATTCCACTTTCTTTGAACACATCGAAAAGAAGCGCATTATTGGTAATACAAGAAAAGCACTTGCCCAGATAATAAACGTCCTAACAAGCACTTTGGAGGAACTACACCTACAATGGTTTTATTTCATACAATTTGGTTTATATTCTCAAAATAAGTGGCCACTGTGGTAAAATCGGTAATTTAACGGAATTTAATTTATAACATGGAAGAGTCTAAGCGTAAGAGAACCGAATTGCGTAAAAACCTCATAAAGGCCGCTGATGTTCTGGAAAATTCGCTGAAAGAGCGCCGCCAGGGCAATCAGGAAGAGGTCGCCTCCGTAGAGGGCTATTCTACTACTGCCGGCTCTCCGACTGCGCCAAAGAGCTGTTTGCTTGTGAGGTATCTATCCGCGACTTATGGTGTAGCCTAAAGGACTTCGACAAGAAATCGTTTGAGGCTCACCAGGAGAAGGCTTTCTTGTTTTCTTTTTCTTTTATAAGTCTTGAGAGATCTGATAGCTTTGATGCAGGAAAAGAGACAAGTACCGGTTAGTACGCAAGATGTATCGATGTTGTACGACAAACACATCTTCAAGCTCTCGACACACTGGGAAACTGAAACGATTTACCAACTGTAGATTGGCCCATGAACCATTAAGCAACATTATTTTTGACCCATTATCTTTTCGTCCAAAGGAGTTTACATTCACGAACGTTTCGCTCACATAATTCTTTGTCATTGAATGCTTAACCAACAGAATGGTTTGACCAATAACTTCTCACTCAAAGAACAATTGGCCCATGGACTGTTCCCCAAGAGAAGTGTACGTCAGTGAGTGTTTAAATAACCCCTAGAAGCAATAATAGCCCAGGGATACGACCGTTGGACTACCAAGTCATCGGTCGTAGGTTCCAACTAACCTACGTACAAAACAACGCAACTTTAACCAACAACTTGCCTAAAAAAATAATAAATATTTAAATAATTAATTATCTATTTCTTCATTTAGTCTTTGGCTTTATATAAGACGTTCTTTTATATTATTATTTTTACCTACAATATCCAATAATGTGGGTAGATTGAAACTTACTACTTGATTTATCATTTGTTTCTTTCATTGTCAACGTGTCCATAGGAGTGTCCGAGCGCATCGTTAATTAAAAGCATCTACCTATTTAATTAAAGTGCAATGAGTGCCCGTGAGTTCGTCAAGTCTAAACGCGGAAAAGATATCTTGGTATACAATGGTTATTGTTATCATTTACATAGCAAATGGGATACTAAGTACTATTGGCGTTTTGTGAATAGAACATCTAGTTGTAATGTGTTTATCTCTACTCTGTTCATTGATAATGCCACATAATTATGAACCCATGCACTTGCCTGATCCCGAAAAGCCTACTGTAATGAAATTAAAAAAAACAATATTAAAGAAAAAGCTAGCAGCTCAATGGATACTCCGTCACAGATTGCACAAAGACAACTACCGCCCCTTATATAGGTATACCTAAATAGGACGCCATAAGGATGATAGCACATCGCGAGAGAAGAAAAAATTTACCCATATTACCTAAAAGAGTACAAGATGTCAATATTCCCGTGGAATATACAAAAATAAATAACGAACAGTTTTTGATTGGACATTTTATTGAAAATAATCTTTGCGTACTGGTGTTTACCAACAAAAATAATTGCCGATTATTGATCAAGGCACTTTACTAGCTTAAGAACGGGACATTCGAATCTTGCCCCATCCCATTTACTCAGATCTTACAATTCACGCAGTAGTAGGCGCAATAGATGGGAATACATAAGATTGAGCCACTGGTATATGGACTACTATCCCACAAAACCGAAAAATGCTATAAAATATTTTTTGACATTGCTTGGAACAGGTACAGGAGCTACTGGTAAGGACAAGAACGAGCTGTCAAAACTAGTGGACTTCTTGAGATTAGAAATAGAGTCGGAAGAAAGGATACAACTAGCTCATGAGACAGGTCGATCAGCAAGTACTAGTTCTAGTAACGATCCGAATATTGCAGGTCCGTGTCCTGTCACGGTCGCCGCTTATTTTGAGAATAAAAGCCAAATTGTGGGAAATAAAATCATTACATTTGTTAAGGCTCTTGTTATATTCTGACAGTTTTAAATCCGTGGAAACGCACAAAGATTATTTCACTCAGAGTTCGTAACATACATTTTATTTATTTTTTTATTTTATTTATTTGGCTCAACAACGATACAATAACATGATACATCTAAGAGACTTATAAGCTAGTGTACTAATTTCTTATAGGTAAGCACATCATGCATAAATTACATAATTACATATACATTATCTATATATCTGTATTGTTGTAACTGCGCAGCGCTACGGCGCCCACTCTCTATGGTTTTATCGATCGACAGGCTGCACGTCCCACCCGACCTCGCCAGTCCAGGAGAAATATATTAATAAAATACAATGTTGCAAGTAAAAATTAAAGTTTAAAAAAATATATTTCAGTAGATCAAGGTGCTTTGCCAGACAAGTTGGTTTCAGTAAGCTTGTTTCAGCTCTCCGAACTTAGAGACTGAGCTAGCGCACTTGCTGCATAATAATAATGTAAAATGTACCTTCTAAGCAATAGTAAATAAATAAATAATAAATAAATAATTGGACAATATCAAAGGTCAATCCGTGCATCCACATAATCAAAATAAATAATTTATCACAATAAGGAATATTAGCAGTTAAGCCGTTAGGCTCCACTCTTGTTAAACCCAACACCTACGTGCGCGAAATCCAAAAATGCAACGGCGCTTGCTCATGTCGATGGATTCGTCATCTTAGCCTAGGGGTGTAGACAATCTCGCTCACATGATTCGAAGGGATAGCTACTATAATTTAGTGCAGTCAGTGTCTATATGCTTAGTTACAATTGACAGTGTTACAGTTCAATGCTTTTAGTATCCTTTCAGAAATTTTGATGTATTATAATTTAATCTCTTTCAAGCAAAGGATAGAGACGTACGTACAAAGGCGGCCTTATCGCTAAAAGCGATCACTACCAGGCAACCTTTAGGTAAACTAGTAGTATTGTTGTTATTATAATTTGTTTTAATATATAATTTTACGAGTAATTAAAAAACGAAACTTATAGTTGCATTTGCATTAAGTAGAATTGATTTCTACACTCTCCGTATGAAGAATTCAAATAACAGGTATGATGTTATATTGACACATAAACTAGCTCGCCCTTTATATCCGGGCTCACATAAAGTGCAACGGCGCATGTTCTTATCGATCGACCCGGTTAAACAGACGCACCCCGCTCCCCCTTTTCAACCGGCCACACCCTGCGCCCCCGTTTCAAACGTTCTCGCCCCGCGTACCGCTCTCAACCAGCCTCACCCCGCGCCCCGTCTCAACTGGCCTCGCCCCGGTTCGCAGCCGCTCTCGTCAGTCGCCAGGGGTTCGAGTAAGCGGTCGATCCTATCGTTTACGTCGGGGTTTATTTATTCATTTAGTGTTGCTTGTTTAATAGTGTTAAATATATGTGATCCTTCTATGAATTGTCGACGTGAGTATTTAGTTTTAATAAATCATAACTTTATTACACTCCAACTATGTCAAGATATCACGTCATCAGCCTATAAGTGCTCACATCATCAGCCTACAAGTGCCCCCTGCTGAGCAAATGCCACGCTTGTTCAAGGCAGATTGGAGATTTCACTTATAATTAGAAATTATAAGTTCCTCACGATGTTTTCCTTCACCGTATGTCAGTGATGTCTAAATAATCATAGAAAATACATGTTACTTGGAAAAATCCACATTGTTACTTGCCAGATTCCGAACATACCCTTATGTATTTAAAGCGGGTGCCTTAACCTCTGGTCAAAAATCAGACCTCCACATTTTAAAGTACATCTTTCTGTAAATTGTACGCTTTATGCGTAGTTAAAATTTATTTCAAATAAGTATTACATAGCAAATTGACTATTATTGTATTTTCCGATTGTTAAAATCCGCCCTTATATATTTACCATGCATGCCTAGATATTACCCATGCAACTTAAAGTGCAACAGCGCAGGCTCTTATCGATCGACCCGGTTATACAGAGCCGCACCCACGCACCCCCGCTCTTCCCCCCTCCCCCGTCTCAACCAGTCTCGCCCCGCGTCTCCAGCCGCTCCTCGCCAGTCGCCAGTGGTTTGAGTAAGCGATCGGTTGTGTCGTTTACGTCGCGTTTTTTTTTTATTCATTCAGTGCTCCTAGTCTTATAGTTTTCAAAGGAACAGTAGTCATTTGAGAAGGTGAGACAGATTCAAATCCTATTTCCTATTAAGTGTTAAAATCCACGTATAATTTGTAAGGGAAGGAAAGAAGATACAATTATTTATTTTGTAGATTGTCGTCTGTAAGTAGAGAGGACCGCATATTAATATTTTGTATCCAGAAGAAAAAACCAGGCGTTATATTAAATTGACGTTATTTTAGGATCCGCCCTAATATCCGGGCTTGCGCTCAATAGTGCAACGGCGCATGCGCTATTGACCGACCCGGTTAAACAGATTTTCTCTGCATCCCTGTACCATCCAACCTTGTCCCGGGCCGTAACTCGGGCTCTTGCCAGGGGATTAAATATGTCACGTTTTGTAATTTATTATAAATATATTTCTATATCTATAATTTTAAATTCTTTTCAGGAGATTCTTATTCTGTGACTTCATTTGTATTGTCTCATAAGTGTCTGTATAGTTTGTTAAATGTTTGCCTCATTCAAGAAGCCAGGTAATAAAGGGACAAGTGTAATGATAATTTACGTGATAATTTACGTAATTATTAGAATGTTTGTTTTTGTAGACATAATTTAATGTTCAATTGTTTGCAATAGAATTTAATTTTAAAGTGGGTATATACAATACTCGTTGGGATTATATCCAATTGATTTCGAATAGCACTTCAGTACAACGGATCCACATAACCACTGTTGCTTTGAGAGCTAGCTTTTGTCTACATTATTGTATAAATCTATATTCTATTATATGCCAAAAAAATTTTGATCATTTTTTTTTATAAAGTTTGGTTGATTAGTAAAACCGGTCAAAAGCATATCTGGCTACGCTCAGTGTAGGGTTCAGTTGTTTACCGTCTGTCACAATATATCCGCAATATGTCACAATATATGTATCCCCAACTTGAGACTTCTTTACATCGCAATTCAGCATAAATAACAAAAGTACAGCGTCATCTGTTACAGAATTGGGTTACTAATTTAGATACATACATTCAGAACAATATAACATAGTTAAAAATATTTGCGATGACTGTTAAATTTCAAAAAAGTATAAAAACTAAAACCCAACTACGACAAAAACCGACTCTGAAAAAGTATAAAACAAGATTTTCAGAATACCATTACCTAGTCTAGCCATAAATACTGTAACAAATAAAAAAAATATTTTTCTATTGCAAATAACATTTATTACTTTTACAGTATGTAAGTTTAATACATACATATAAAACAATTTAAAACATAAAAAATTTATTCGATGTGGTCTCCATTGGCTGCAATACAGTCCTTAAAACGTTGAGGCCAGTTATCAATAGAAGCACGCACTCTTTCCATGGGAAAATTCTTCACTGCCAATCGTATGGATTGTTTTAGGGAGTCCAAATTATCATGACGTTAAGAGCAAGCCCTACTCTCTAAAACTGACCATAAATCATAATCCAGTGGATTAAGATCGGGACTAGACGACGGCCAGTCTTTAGCTCTGATGAAGTCGGAAACGTTCGTTTCCAACCAAGACTGCGTGGACCGAGCTTTATAACCCGGCGCCGAGTCTTGCTGGAAGGACCATTGTTGGTTATTGAACATGGTGTTGTTAAGGGGCTTAACTACCTTCTCAAGAATGGTATTTTGATACACTTGTGCCGATGTTTTGATACCTTTTTCGCAAAAGTATAGCTAACACCCCACCAAACCATCACTGAAGTCGGATAATGCCCACGTTGCATTCTGTCGACTAATTGAGAATCTTCCTTAGAGCTTTGAGCATAAATACGGTCGTTTTGTTTGTTAAAATGTTGCTCAATTGTAAAAATTCTCTCATCCGTAAACAATTTTTTTCTGTGACCTCCCTTTGAGTACCGCTTCAGTAGTTGTTTAGATTTTATCACCCTACTAGCTTTTGCCCGCGACTTTGTTCACGTGGAAAAGTTACTTCCTGCAGATTTTTGGAATAAAAACTATCCTATGTCCTTTCTCGAGTTCCAAGCTTTGTCTGTACCAAATTTCACAGAAATCGGCTCAGTAGTTTAGGCGTGAAGAAAAGACAGACAGACAGACAGAAAGACAGACAGAAAGACAGACAAACAGAGTTACTTTCACATTTATAATATTATAGTTAGGATATTCTTTTTTAAATTATCATTTAAACAATGTCCAGTGCGTCTCTTATAGGCTGCAAGTCCTAAGTCGTCTTTTAAAATACGCGACATGGTTCTAGGTGCTATCTTCATCTCCCGAGATAAAATATTTTGCTTTCGGACAGGATTTCTTCGAATTCTTTCCCTTACTGCTTTGACCACCTTTTTCGTACGGACACTAAGTGGACGGCCAGATCTTTTTCTGTCACAAACAGAGGAGGTATCATTGTACCTATTAATAGCCCGGTACACAAAAATTTCACTAATGCCAAGCGTGTGGAGAGTTTTAAAAATTGCATTTGGCTCCATACCCACTTTGTGTAATGCAATCACAGCGATTATTCGGTTCTCTTTATCACCCCACTCCATTTTAATATCGCAAAATATTGAAATATTTGTTGGCGCCAAAATAAGAAAAATCAATGAAAAATTATATAAAAATGACAGATTCCAAATTCAAATGTAATATCTTGTTTATTTTTAATTGTAACAGTATTTATGGCCAGACTTTGCATATATGTACAAGTAAAGCGCTTTAAAATGATACCAACCACGGTATAATTAAATCAACTTTATTATTTTACTCTAGTTGTTTTGTCCGCTAGAGGACGCCATATTCGATTTTGTTATTTATCATATATAGCTACCAGCGGATAATTAAGACGTTTCTAATGATATGACATATGGCGATTTCTGATAAGTAGTTTAGAAGTTACGAGGGAACACACATACATACATAGCCTGTCAAAATCATAACCCGCGTTTTGCTTTGCCGTAGTCTGGTAAAAAATAGTTATTTTTTTTTGTACAATATTTCAAAACTGTTCAACCTATCAGAGTTCAATATATTTTTCCTAGAAAGTATTTATAATGTTCTACTTTGGAGTATTTTTTCATAATTTTAAAACTTATGGTTCAAAAGTTAGAAGTGGGGACGCATTTTTGTAAAATTATTGGAGAGCGATTATTTCCAAAACTATTAACATTATCAAAAAATTATCGAATTAAACCCTTAATCATTAGTAATTCTCGTTTACTACGGAACCCTAAAAAGTAAATTACTTATATGGAGCTTAATTTTATAAATGTTTTTTTCCAGAATTAAAGCTACTGTTGAAGTTGAAACTGGTTTTAGCCATAGAAATGTAATGAAGTCGATCTTACAAACAATACTACGTAGTGATGTGGGATATCATATTTTTTTTATTACTAATTCATTTCTGTCATCAAATTTAAATTGGGTCAGTTTAGCCCGCTAGTTTAGATTTTTATCCAATTCCTGAAAGGGTTTCAAGGCGGGATGTCATCAAATTGCTTCTCTCACGAGTTTCTCCCTACGTGGCGCGAGAGGGAATATCAGACTCTTACTGATTAAAAACAACCCCGTTCTTTTTTATGGTCCACGCTGCGTCCGGTACATAATTGCGCTTGACCCGCAACCCCGGTTGACTTTAGAACCCTTCGATGATTGTATTTATAAATATTTTTCATCTTTCCAGATGGCTCATGGCCTGCATTTAGGACACTCTTCACCTAAACAATTTTCAACTAAAGAGGAGTTTTCTCTTCCGTCGAATGATGTTGGGTACCAGTTCAATCTACTGTCGTCTTCACCTCAATCGTAAGTAGTCTTTGAATATTATCCTTTTGTAATGAAATTAAATATTTTTTTAGTATTTTTTATTTATAACTCAGTTATATTGAAATAAAGTCACTTTTTTCCCTGATTCTAACATCCATTGGTAAATTAATATAATTGAAATTCCATGGAGAAAATTATTCAGGCTATACAAAATTAATAGTTGCATATTTCTTTTCTAATTGATTCGAAATAACGTATTTTTATTTACAGTTACCAAAACTTCTGCTAACTCAACTGCATTCGCTTTCTCGAACCACCTGGCGACTCCCTAGGAATCGAAATATATCTGTGACGTAAGTATTTTTTTATCAGAGTCATATTTAAACTTTGGCATCATCTATTGAAACTAATGAATGACACAGTATTTTACTGGAAGAATGAAGCTGTTTAAGCCTACTAATATTACAAACAAAATGTGTAGACGGTTGAATGGATAGATGTTTGTTACTCTTTTGGGAAAAGTTTCTGATTGCATCTGAGTAAAATTTGGCCCACAGGTTGGCATATTATTAACTAAATAAAACAGGCAATTTTTATTCTGGTTAGTCTCATGCTTATCCATATTAGTTTTCAGACACTAGTAATCTTATATTTAAATTGTTTATTAAACTGCGCTATAGAGTTGCTTGCAAATTAAACTTCAGAAGAAAGGCTCCAAGATGGGTTGAGCAAATATTATTAGAATTATTGTGCTGAAACAGGGTGAAATAGAAATCGAAGGGTATTAGACGCAGAAGAGGGTTGAATATATGTATACTACAAAAAATCCCAACATTTATTCACCCCTCGAATTCTGTTCACCCCGTTTTACGGTATATGTCAGTTGATTTAGTTACTATTATGAGACTCATTACATAACTGTAATGGATGTAACACCATTATTTATCTATACAATATAGATTCAAACTATTTTCTTCATTGCTTGTTTCAGGTATCGACCCGCTAAAATCATGGAGCCTTCAATGTCGAATTAAATAAATGAAAATACAACAAAATAAAACCTATAAGAACCATTCAAAGATAATCCAAATAGAAGATTACCATCATTTTAGCACTTAATTACTTTTCCGTGAAAAAAATATGACTAACCAACGACAAGTGTCTCCAACTTACCTCGGCTAAGGACTGCTACACTAAAAATGGATCATCACTTCTATTATATCAAACAACGGAAGTGAATCACCACTTCTTATTGTGAGTAAACTGCGGTTTTCGCAAATTGAAAAGGAGAAAAAGACAAATATCTTCCAATGTTTATCGATACTCAGAGACAAACATAGTCTCTGCAAATAAATGAATCTCTTCTTGAGCACCTACCAGAAGATGTGGACACCGTTAACAAGAACACGCTGTAACATTTCCGGTCGAAAAAAAACAGACTGCGGTGGAAATGGCTCTCTTTCCAGTACTTCAAGAGCTAATATGTTAAAAATGAAAGTTTTAGGACAAAAACCCACCAACTTCGGAACCAACTCATTAATGTAATTTTGTACGAGTGGAGGAATGATCTATTGTTAACTACGCATTCAAAAACACAATGAAGGACAAATTATGTTTTTGTATGCGTAGTTTCAGATCCATTACAGATTATGAAGCGTACTTTTTATTGAACAACATACCAAAGGAAATCGAAAGAAAGGACATAATCCCAAGAATGGGTCGCTGTACCCAAAAAATAAATAAGAGTTAAATTTACGACTAGCGATCGGAATGGTTTACAATCAACATCTTATGCTGTAACTATTTCGGGAACAACATAAAACTCACCAGCGAAAAAAACCTAAATCGGCGAGAAACCCATATTTTACTTTTTGTTGAATTGTTACTTGTTAAATCGTTGTTTTGCCGTGTGTGACCCGGTTTATAGAATTGGTCCACCTCTCGCTGCCCAGGAGTGTCGTAAAAGGCGACTAAGGGTATAATAGAATGAAGATCACGATGCAGGTGGAAAAAAAGCAAGTGAACGATATTAATCACATGAATCACAAGGTCTTACATAAGACGAAGAACATCTTGATATCTTGGCGCACATACTTTAGAGTTGGTACGACGTGTTTGTGTATATGAGATTATGCGTGTCTAGAAAATCTATAGTTGGATCTAAAAGACGGTGCGACCTTGCCGCTGATTGCTAGAAAACATAGAACTTCGAAGTCAGAGGCTGGAGATATAAAAAACATCGCAGGTGCAGGTCAGTTATTCCTGAATAATGGTATTAACTTGGGATATTTGCAAACCTTAATGTCGCCTGCGGTATTTTACATAGATCTTGTTAGGTTTGTTTTAAAGGGCAACACCTTGGAAATGTTTTAAAATGTATAACCCGATCACGTTTAAAATAAAATAGTAATTTACTATCAGTAACATTAATAATCTATCAGCCTAGAAGGAAATTTTGGTAATGTTGATAAGAGGGATTCTCGTTATCTGAAAGTAATTTTTTATTGCAAAATAAATAATATTGAGTTAATTTTCAAAAAACTTCATTGTACAGACATATATTATTATGTGCACCAATGATTGGACAACATCCTAAAAAAAAACGTTTGGCGTGGTATTTCATTTTTGGGATGACGTTTGTGCTCGCTTCTCAACTACGAACGTAAAACAATGTAGCTTTTTACCATCAATACTACGCCAATTTATCATTATTATTCTAAATTTGACATTATGCGTGATCGGGTTGTGGAATGGTAACAAAACACCACAATTTGTTACGAGATTTAAATACTATTGCACGTTACGTGTTATGAATAAAAATATAAAAATGTTAAAATACCCAATAGTTAATTAAAAACATAGTATAGGTATAATGAGTGGAAAAAAATAGAAAAGCAAAAAAAAATATAAAAACGTGCACGCTGAACTGACCCCCTTCTTAGATCATGATTGTAAATTCACGGACGGTTGAGATGTGAGCCACCTGCGAGATTCCATTTTCTCAAAATCATGAAAATAAAACTTGTTATTGGTTGGTAATACCAAAATAGCCAAATTAAAGACTGTTTACTTCAAATTCCTATTGATGATCAAAATACGGAGTTATATAATTATTACGATTTTTTGAGTTTCTCACAAGTGCCTACCCCGCCACGTTTTTGGGCGCCTTATCCACATTAATTTCTAAGATTTTTAGCCACAATAAGAGCTAAGAAGGGTGGTTGTTTAATATATATTGTAGCCTGTATAACATCTAGGATGATGGTGATTATGCAATATTACGAAGAAGGCTTTTCGTTAAGAGTTAAATTGACCGTGGGGAAACAATTATAAATGTTCAGCGTGCAGGAAAAATTAAAAAAAAAGTTTCAGTGTTGTACTATTTTGGTTGCGAAAACTGAAAAAAAACACAAAAAAATATAAATGTTTATTTACGTTAAATGTTATTGTGCATCTCTGTATGTTTAAAAACATTGACAAAAAAAAACTACACAATCAGAAAATAACGATGATAAAAATTTCCAATCAATAAAAAAAATATAAAAATCCAAAAAGAAATACAAAAATAGTTAGTTTAATTGCTGTTATTGTTGTTTTCTATATGTAATGAGCGTGAATGTTTATTTTATTAATAAAACACTGTCAAAATAAAAAAAAAGTACGCGCATTCATGATACCTACTGAAAACGTTTTATGACTTCGTAAAGGTACAAATTAAATTATATTAACAGATTTTCATACTCATCTAGGAATTAAATTACAATGATCTCATCATAGATATAACCAGTCATCGGGCAAATTAATTATTCGAACACATAACTATAAATATTTGGACTTCCATTAATATTATAGTTCATAACGTAAAATCATATACATTATCCACATTTGACGTGTCCCATTCACGTCTCACGGGCCGTGCATTTTTCCGAATGTAGAAAAGTATTATAGCTTCTAATTATCAAGAATGTAAAATTGAAAAATAATCGTCAGCCCGAGAATAAAAATTCTTTGAAGAATTAAATTTTGCATCTTGTAACCATTTGATTAACAACTAATGACGATCATGCATTTGAAGGCGTAATTGTTAAAAGACTCTTGTACATCCAGTAAAATATATTAACACACATGAGATTGAAGACGATGTCAGATGTCGCACCAAATAAAGCGTCACTTCACTAAAGACAAATTTATCTCTAGTGTCAAATGTAATTACATAAAAGAAAATATAAAGTTTTGTATGCAATTACATACACCAATAAAGATAAATTAATCGTTTGATTACAATTTGTCACAAGATAAATTCAAAACAATTGGTGTAATTTATATGAATATTAGTGTAAATTTGCATTGTGTATGAATTATTTAACAATTATTCTCACGGAACAGGGACGGTGGAATACGGGACACACAAATTCATTCATTAATTGCTAGACACGAAACCTTGTGCTATATAAAAAGTTAAAATCTAGAAGTGACTTTCAAATTGCTAGGTGCATTTTTATGAGAACAGTGCAAGCAATATTGTTAAATTCTCATTTAGATTAACTTAGTGCAGTAATTAGGATATCCCGACACGTTATACCTCAAGATACACCTCACATTTGGTATACATGTTTATTGATATTATCTGTCGTGCAACGTAACGGATTTGTGCTTTGGAATGGGTTTTATGAAGTGTGGATTAACATTATTTAATCACCATTGTATAACGCAATTTTTATTAAATAATGCTAAATTAAAGGTGACATGTTTCAGTTATTATCTGTCTCATGATAGTAAATGGCTTACTGTCTAAGGTTGCATGACGTTTTGTAGGTTTTGAGGAACAGATCATAAACATGTATACTGCGTATTTTGTATGTATTAAGATGATTTGGGTATAGGAATGGGTTTAGAAGTGTTCGGACCACCATTATTTTAAGCAACATTGTTTAATACAAAGCTGCTTGAAAGAATGCTAATTATGACAGTGTCGTGTTGCAGTTAATATAACTTCAACATGGTAGCAGATGGCTGAATGATTAAGAATTGCATGACGTTTTGTAAGTGGGGATTAATTTATTATACAGAACAGGTCACAAACGCGTATGTACGAGTTTGTTGATATAAACAGTCGTGCAACGGCAAGGATTTAGGTAAAGGTTTTAAAGTGTTTGCACTAACATTATTATAAGCAACATTGTTTACGACATTGAATGCTGCTTAAAGTAATGCTAAATATGTCAGTGATGCAGTAATTATAACTGCATTATTATAGTAGATGGCTTAATGATCAAGGTTGCACGATGTTTCGTCGGTTTACTTTAAAACATAAAGTAGAAATAAATAATACAAAAAAAAAGATAAAAAAATAAAACGCAAAAAAAACAAAAAATATAAATTCCAAAAAAAGTAATAAAAAATAAAAAAATCTAAAAAAATACAAAAACTAGTAAAGTAACAAAAACAATTCAAAATGTATCAAAAATGTAAAAAAATATGGCTTAAGATTATTGTAAGTAAAAACATATATAAAAGAATATTGAAACTAAATTGAAATTTCAGCAAACAATTCGAATAATACCTCGATTACAAACTACCTCTGTGGCGCCAGTCTCCATGTTTGTCGGCAAGTAAGGCACTAGGTTCTGGAGTCATCACTGGTTGTTTTCAAAATGTTTGAGAGTCATCCTAATCTCGTATAGGCTGATGTCTGGGTAATCCTCGGTGAAGTGTCTGTAGTCAAGGTTCAGTTAGATTTTACTTCCTGAGCAATACTGACAAAAGTTTTCCGATTCGAGGAGTTTAACTGTCCGTAGAATGTCTCAAACCCTCTCTAAATCTCTGGTTTCAATGAATGTATACCACTTGTCTTCGGATAATGTTAAATGACATTGCTCAACAGATTAAATCGTACGAACATTTTAGTTTCTGATAAAACTCAATTGTGACCCTGAGTTTTGACATGTCCACTTCAAAATTTGCCATGTAACACATATCGGCTGAGGATTGTTCATCTCCATCTCAGTCTGATCTTTCAAAAGATTGACAATTTCATTCGCGTTTGCCTTTGAAGTTTAACATCACTGGAACGTTGGAAAGTATTCATGGGAAGTATATATGGTCTTATGGACTCGCAAATTACTTTCTTACGATTCAGTTTCGATATTACTTTTGGACGTTGCTCCTATAGTAATAGGAGGACGTGTTTTTTCAACACCGTGGAAGTACCCGATCAAGGGTGGATAGACTTTTAGATCGCATTTTCTGGGGGATCTGGAGCTTGGTATTCAATTTATTATTTAAACGCGAAGTTACTGATAGATAAGTTAACACCTTAGTCATGCTAGTACGTTGTTTGCAACCTCACCTCATAGTATAGGAGTTATAGTTCTATAATGTTTATTTTTTTAACACTAGAATTGCTAGAGTAGTTTAACATTTCTTTCTAAGCCACGGCCAAAAGTCATAATTTACATCTTATTGACTTACACCCGGTTTCCGAAAGGCCGATCAATGTTAAAATCAATTTAATCTCTTGTCAAGTCATCTGATTGGTTGACTGAATTATCAACAACCAATCAGATGACTTGACAAGAGATTTAACAGGAGATTAGTTAATTTTAGCGTTGACAAGCCTTTCAGAAACCGGGTGTTAATCTTGTACTTGGTATTAGAAGCACATGAGCAGATAAACAGAACAGAGACAAAGTTTCTTATTAACGTGTAATCCTATTGGTATATACATATTTATTTAAATCGAGCGACAAATTATAGATTCAATTTTTTTTACATATAACATAAATGCATATATCTCTTTTTACAATCTTTAATTGACAATATATTTCGTTTGTAAAACTGATACTTTTTATTAAAATATCGAAAATTTCTTAAAACCTAATTGCACATAAAATATTCCATAAAACAATATTATACTTTTGTTATTACCAAAAAATACTTATTTTAAATAACGTACTTACATAGTTACTACTTAAATAATACCTACGGCTTCTTGTTTGGACAATTGAGTCTCATTTTTGGAGACGGGGCGCATCTCGTCGGCGCTTTGTGCGTTTGACGTATATAATACTGCAGTAGTGGGTTTCAACATCGCTCGCACGACTGACACGCGCCGCGTCTCCATTGACAAGACCCAATTGTTTGCACGACGTGTGTATATCATATACGATTCTATAAAGGATATACATATATACCCCCCTAATCTCTGTTCTATTTATGTTCTAATGTGTTGGAACTTAGGTCCTAGACGGACAAACTGCTGTCATTATATCTGGAAGCTGTATAAGACATCGCTGTTCAAATGAAGTCCGTCTGTCTAGGGCCTCAGGATAAATATTGTTTGTAACCGACGTTACTGGTAGATTAGTAGTCAACGCTAGCTT